GACCAATGGGGCAGCTCTGAAAATAAAATAATGCAAAGAACGGTACACAATGAAAGCTTGGTGGATTTGAGGATCAATTATTAATACCACATCAAGTAATGTCAGATCTGTACACCCTATGTGATTGAGAGGCACTTCAGTCTGTTGAAATTTTAAAAAATTAAAATTAAAAAAAATGAACTAGAAAAATAAGTAATATAAGAGGCCATGTGATCAAACTTCAATGGAAGTGGTATTGACTTTTTGTGCTCCAATAAATTAAAAAAGTATAGATAACAGATATTTATAATGTAATAGAGTCAATAGTATTTAAAAAAAAAACTAGAAAAATGAATAATATTTATTTAGAATTTTCAACTTAATACAAATTTTTTATAAGTAGAAAATGCAAATGAATTTCTGTTTGGTTTTTTTTTTTTTTTTAAATTCAAGTGGGACCCTCACCCATGCTTTTTGACAAATAGAAACTTGGAAAAGAAAAAAAAATAGAATTAGACAAAATTAAAAATAAGAATGAGGTAAACTAAACAAGAATAAAGATCTTCTCGTCAAGCGGCATAATTGTGACTCTCCAAAATGGGAGATAGCAGGTTTGCACCCCACTGGGGACTATAATAAAAAATAAAAATCTATATATTTAAACACTATGGACTATATTAAAATTTTATTAAATGTAAATAAATAAAATGTCAGAAAAGATGAACTAACAAAAGACTAATTTGGTTTTTGTGGCATGAGAGAAATAAAAGACCCTTATGTGGCTCTCTTTTCTCTCTTCAAGTGAAACATCATCCAGGCAAATTGCAAGACTTTGATTGACAGTTTCTTTTACTTAGTTCTCTTCCTGGGATGTTTCACTATCATAACAACGATGGATCAACCAAAGAAATTGTGTATTCAAGGTTGAACTGTAAACCTGCAATGCAGCTTCCATTCCCAACAGTGAAAATTCTGGAGGCCCACAGTTGAAGAAGAAGAAGATAATCCATACTTTCACGCGTAGATATTTTTCCTGTTCCTTCACACCCATCTTCTGCTGATGAGTGCTGCTTGCTGGGTCACCACCACCATACTTTAATTACTCTGCAATACAGGTTAGATCAAGAATCTAGCTGAAACTTCACATGGGCAGCTCAGCTGGTCATAAACGTAAAATTTGTCACAAGAGATCAAGAATCGAGTCTCACCCAACCTCTCAAATAAGGAGGCACTTTGTACGAAGTGAGCAAAAGTCTAGCCTTTATTAATCAATTGAGTCACCATGATTTACCCAGAGCGTGGGGGCGCTTGGGATGGGGGATTCCACCTTTGTCACAAGAATCCAGCTGAGAGGTCCAGTGTTCATGATTCCTGTCAGCCCAAAATAGTTGTGGGCACTACAGAGACATATGTTATGGGAGCTCCCTTTCTTTTCACCTTCCTGAGACAGCCATCCTCGGAGCTATTAAGATATACATTATTCAACCACCAAATCAAAAACCATTAGAAGGTTTACATTCATTGCATTACTATGGAAGCAAAACAGGCCATAGACCCTCCTAAAGAGAATCTAGATGTTTATACCAAGTCCCTCACCATCAAGATACCGAGTTCTGGCAACAATCAAGGTAAGGGGATTCTGATTAATACTGTTGCTTCAAATACAGATTCTCTACCTCAGAACTTAGCAGCACTTTCCATGAAATTGTCTCCAAATAACTCTCCTCCATCCTCAGCATTTGTCTCAGCATTACAATCACCTTATATTTCTCCCAGGGTCACCTTAGTTGCAAATCAGCCAGCAGAAACACAAATAGTTCTAGCCACACTCTCCCATCCCTCCCCACAACCATCATACGGTGGTTCCCAGTCTGACAATGTGCCTAGCACCTCCTACACTCCACCTCTAGAAAGATATGGTTTTTCAGATAACCCTGCAGGCAAAAAGCACAAGGTTATTACCCGTGTTCCTGTCTTGGGACAGGATACAGATCCTCGAATTTTATTTTCATTTCCTGTCCCTCGGATTTCATTTGCAAAAGCCACCATCTCACCGGCTTCCAATGCCAAATTAAGGAGCTGTGATGTGTACATAGGATACCATGGGTGGAACCCAAATTTAGTAAGGTTTTGTAAGTGGGTTAAGTCAGAGCTTGAGCTTCAAGGAATTGCTTGTTTTGTTGCAGACAGAGCAAAGTATGCAGATAATCAGAGTCATGAAATTGTTGATAGAGTTATTTGTTCAGTAACCTTTGGTGTTGTGATCATCACCAATTATAGCCTCTTTAACCATATGAGCCTGGAAGAAGTAAGGTTCTTTGCGCAGAAGAAGAGCTTGATTCCCTTGTTCTTTGATATGGATGCCACGGAAGTTGCTAGTTTTGCAAATCATCATTCTGAAAACAAGAAATTTAAAGATTCATTGGATGCAGTATTAAAGTTCCATGACTATAAATTGGAGGCAAATAAGGATAATTGGAGAAGCTGTATATCAAAAGCAGCAGGGATTTTGAGGAACAAGCTTGGGAGAAGTGTAGCTGATAAGAATACAGAAGGATTAGAGGAGTTTCCCTTTCCAAGAAACAAATATTTTGTAGGAAGAGAGAAAGAAATTTTGGAAATTGAGACAAAATTCTTCGGCTGTGGGGATTCTTTTCAGGAAGAAAGTCCCATTCCAAATGTTAAAGGAGGAACTCCGGGGCAATCCCAAGGCCTTGCAGACAATCAAAGCAAGGAAAGCAATAAAGAGACTTGGGTAGAACCAGTGGTAGGAAGTTCTCTAAAAGGACCCAAATACAGAAAATCAAAGAGTGAGAAGGATAAGAGCTTTCAGAACAGTGTGGTATGCATTAATGGATTGCCAGGTGTAGGAAAGACAGAGCTTGCTTTGGAATTTGCATATAGATATTGCCAGAGGTACAAGATGGTTTTCTGGGTATGTGGAGAAGCTCAGTATTTTCAACAGAATGTATTGAAACTGTCTCTTAATCTAGGCTTGGATGTTAGTGCAGATGGAGAGAAGGAAAGAGGTAGGATAAGAACTTTTGACCAGCAGGAGTCTGAAGCATTCAAGAGAGTGAAAAGGGAGATGTTCCAAGACATGCCTTATCTACTGATTATTGATAATCTAGGGACAGAAAAGGAGTGGTGGGATGGAAAAGGTTTGCATGATCTAATACCCAGAAACACTGGCGGTACCCATGTTATCATCACAACAAGGCTTTCCCAAGTAATGAACTTTGATACCATGCAGCTTCAGCCATTGCATGCATCTGATGCAATGATATTGATTCAAGGGAGACAGATAAAGGAGTACCTGGTTAGAGAGGTAGAAATTCTTCAGAGATTTGTTGAAAAACTGGAGAGCTCAAGTTTTGGATTGTGGATAGTTGGTTCCCTGCTGACCGAGCTTGCAATTTCTCCATCTACTCTATTTGAAGCTGTGAACCAAATGCCACTTGAAGACATAACTAGCTACTCTAGTTTGAGCATTGATGATAAAAAGTTCTGCAGAACCAATCCTTTTTTGATGAAAACACTGGCTTTCTGTGCAACCATCTTGCAACAAATGACTGCTAGAGAGAATTTCCTTGCTACAAGAATGCTTCAGGTTGGGTCCTGGCTTGCCCCAGCTCCCATCTCAGTCAACTTACTAGCTGCAGCAGCAAATAAAATGCCCACCCCCAGAAAAAGGTTCATGAATTGGACAAAGTGCATAAAACGCACCCTCCTTAATTGCACAAAACAGTGTCTAACATGTCAAACATGGAAGAGCGAGGAAGAAGCAGCCTTACTGTTAGTTAGGTTTGGTCTGGCAAGGAGAGCTAATAGGAAGCCTGGATGCTGGATTCAGCTCCATCCCATTACTCAAATATTTGCAAAAAGAAAAGATGGGTTAGCTGCAATCAAAGCCACTCTCCAAGGAGTAAGAAGTAGTGGGAACCTGCAAATTGATTCAGACCACCTGTGGGCCTGCGTTTTCCATGTATTTGGGTTCAAACCTGATCCCCCAATAGCCCAGCTCAATGCAATTGATATGGTTCTCTTCATTAGGAATACATTTCTACCTTTGGCTATCAATGCTTTCACAACTTTCTCAAGATGCCACATAGCCTTGGAGCTTCTGAAAGGCTGCACAGATGTCCTTGAAGAAGTGGAGAGATCATTTGCATCCCAAATACAGGATTGGTATCATGGCTCTCTTTGCTGGAAAAAGAAGCCGCAATCCAACCAAAGGGTGGATGAATACGCGTGGCAGGAGGTGACATTGTTGAAAGCCACACTGCTCGAGACCAGAGCAGAGTTGTTGCTGAGAGGAGGACACTTTGATAGCAGCGAGGAACTATGCAGAAGCTGCATAAATATCAGGACGGTGATGCTTGGCCACAACCATGCTCAAACATTAGCTGCTCAACAAACTTTAGCAAAGTTAGTCAGGATGAGGAGTAAGATTACTAAGATATGATGTTATATCTATCAGAACAAACTGTCTCAAACTAAGCTAGCTCAATTTTTTTAACACTGATTGTGGCTTTCTGTAGTCATTTTATTTCAGTTTACAGTTCCTTTCGCTATATTAGCTTTTAAGTCAAAACCCTATAGTGCCATCAAAGAGCATATTATAAAGACCAGAAGAGATTTAGATTTTAATATCCTGCTCCAAAGTGGCATATTAAACCCTAGAGAGAGCTGCATGCTTCTCTCCTATATCAAATTATTAAACCATGCTCCGCAGGGCCAACTCAAGTGGTAGACCACCGACCTAAAGTTATCACTTCACCGGTAAGGTGAGAGTTCAACTCACACCAACAACATCTTGGTGCTAGAGCTCCCCAAACTAGAAATTGGGCTCGCTAGATTGGACTCTTGAGCAAGGGTTCTGTAGGCTTAGAATTAGTCTAACGTTTCTGAGAAAACCTAATGTATCAAAAAACAAAATTATTAAACCTTTTTCAGTTAGATTAGTTGGTGCCTCAACTTCACAGGTAACTTACCAAGAGCAGTACTTGAAACATGGAACAAGTCACAATTTTGAGTACAGTTTGTATTAAACCTATCACCCAATTCTGGGAAAAAAGCTTGAATCTTAAACACATTCCAATACAGGTGCATTTTGTAACTCGACAACTTTCAGCAAGCAATAACCACGAACGGTTCATTTCCGACGAAATAACTTACATCACAAGCTCTCCCTACTAGCGTAAATTCACACACAAAAAAACACACCGAATATATGATTAAGCAAACAAGCAAACAGAACCTTCTTCAGAAGCAGATTTCCTCAATTCACACAGAATGTGTGATTTTTGGACACCGGCTCATCTCAATTCAAGTCAAAGAGGACGAACTGTTTGGACTTTCAAGAGATTCCTCCATCATGCGAATTCGATACCAAGCCGTTTAGAACGGCGTCGTCTTCATCGAGGAAGAGCCCTTCCGGGTTCCTGAAAATCCCGTGAATAGCGGAGAGTGATATCCCAACTCCAACGCCAATCAGCAGATTGTTCAAGACTCCCGTGATCCAAAGAATCAGAGCCGAACCGATAACCAGGACTGTAATCACGAGCTGATCGCCAATGTGCCTGCCGCAAACAACGATCGGATCTTCACGGAAGAAGTATAGAATCAGCCAGAACGCGAAAAGCAAGACCACGACGGCCAGCAGGATCGGCGTGCCTAAAAGCGACCCGGCTGCGCAGCAGGAGATAATAATGGAGTAGTTGACGGCGAAGTAATTGGAATTTCGTCGGAGTCGGATCCATACGTCGGAGGTGGAAGCCGGGAGGTCGAACGCATTGGCAGTTGAGAGGAATTCCGGCCAAGGACGGCAACGGTTGAAGTAGGCGTAGAGGTTTTGTATCGAGCGTTGGACGACGCCAGATGCTGATATGGGAATGGTGGTGTAAGTTGCGGCGGCTCCGGCGGCAGAGTGAGAGGAATTGACGACCGGATTCGCCGCCGTCGTGCTCGGTGAGGACATTTTGACGTCCGGACAGTTGTTTTGACCGGAGAAGACCATTTATAGCTGGGATGTATGTGGAATACTGGAATGTATTAGGTCGTTAACTTAACCAAATACGTACAGGGAGAATTTCAGTAAAATAAAATAATACGGAGTATATAAAAATATATCATTAAAAAATTATAATGAAGTCAGGGTTCAAAAAGCTCTCTATCTCGTATGAAAAAATCAATATGATCATCATTTTGCCCCTTATTTGGATCACCTTGATGTAGATTAGGGATTAGTCTAAATATGATACGAGTTTAGAAGTGTCTCCTATAATCATACCTTACTCGTGAGTCGTGACACCTTGTGTGATCTAACCAAAAAAAAAAAAAATAATTGTGATCTTTTAAATGACATTATATTGATGTTTTTAAATTTTTAAATAAACATAATATCCACAAAATCATTACTTTAAATACATAAATTGATTTTGAAAAATTATCAATGCAAGTACATTAAAATTCATTACTATAAATACATAAATTCATTATGTAAAGAGATAGATTCACTACTATTTATGTCATTTTTGTGTGTACTAGTTTTTTACGCGCATTGTGCGATTGGGATAATGCCCAATGCTTTTTTTAAATAAGTATTTTAAAGTATATTAAGACAGGATTATATTGAAATTGTTCATGCATAGATAATTGAAGGTTGAATTTGCGTATTTAAATAGGTAATTCTTCTCCCAAAGGTTGAGTCCCCAACCCTAAGGGCCACCCACACTCCGACCCGACAGAGCATTGTGAGAAGTTGTAAATCACGGTGACTCAATGGTTCAGCAGACAAGGCCAAATGCTGATACGCACAAGGAATCTGCCCACTTTGGACATAATTCCCGCACTACCGCCGCCGAAATTCAAACCTTCGTCTCTTCTCCCAAATACTACCCACTAAACCATTGAGCTAAGCCCGTGCGGGTTAAATAGGTAATTCTAAGTTTACAAATGCAAGATAATATAGTCAAGATTGATTATAATTGTCAATAAAATAATTGTATATGTATCGTTGAAACCAAATACGGGACTTAAGGGAGAACAAATAAAAATTAGGACATAAAATATTAAATATATACTAATATTGTTTGAGGAGATTCCGACATTAGGATTTGTGGTTAAGTTCTATTAAGACTTTAATATTAGAATTAGATTAATGGTGTAGTTATAGTTCTATATTAGACTTTAATATTAGAATTAGACTAACGGTGAATTAACGGAAAAGTTAAATGGATAATCATATAATTAAGGATAAATTAGAAAATCTTAAAAGAAAAAAATAAAACCTGAACAATATGAACCATTCATTTGATTTAATAATTTGACGATCATTTTTTCTACCCAATGTTAATAATTAAATAAATTCGATGGTCAAATCCGCTAACGTTAACCGCTAACTGCTGATTGTCAAACAAGGACATTGCGAGGTAGTTCTCACTTCAATTTGTTGTGTGATTTGAATACTCTCGTTGTCACAAAATCTCTCGAAGTAGTTAATATGGTTGACTTTATTAATTATATTTTTTTAATTTTTTCATGGTATTAATAAAATACTTGGTAAATAAATATATAGCATTATTTTGTATTATAACTTTGATATTTAATTAGAAAAATAGTGCACAAAAAAGATAATAGATAATGTAGTGAATATAATCAATTGATGAATTTGAATGTAAAAATTTTTACATTTGAGAAAAATAAAGACAATATAACTAATGAAAATATTTCTTTTAATTAATTTATTGATAATTAATAAAAAAAATTTCACTGAATAAAGACATTGTAAGGATAATGTAGCGAATATAATCAATTAATAAATTTGAATATAAAGAATTTTTATATTGAAGAAAAATAAAGACAATATAACTAATAAAATTATTTCTCTTATTTAATTGATTGATAATGAATAATTTTTTTTTTTGAATAAAGGCATTATGGACACATAATTCTAAATTAAAGAAATGCATATGTATTATTTTTTGTTGTAACTACTAAATTATTATTTATATAATTTAATAAGAGTAAAATAAAGTACTAATTATGCCAACTTTGATTGGGATGAGGTTCGAACCTAAGACATTTTTTTATTGAAATCAATGAGTAAGTTAACGGTAAACTAACGGCAATTCTTAAAATTTTAACGGAATTAGTAACGGTGTGTGGGTATTTTAGGAAATTTTAATGTAAAATTTAAATCTGATCAATCTTTTAATTAATTTGAGCCATTCATTTGATTAAAATCTATGACCGCCATTTTTTCTACCCATTATAGGCCTAACTCTCTTGGGCTCTTATTAGTATAGTAGATATAATACAGAGTATTATTTTTATGTATCTATATTTTTATGTAATTATATTCTTACTTTTATATATATAGTTAACAAGGTAGATCCTGATCCACAATATGATTTTTCAGAACAACTCAATGGTATAATTGGTTAGAGCATATACAGATAGTTATGCTGTGCATCCGTATGCACCATGCATGGTGCATACGGATGCCAAAACGACGTCCTTTTATTAAAAAACGCGCGTCTCCCTTTTTAAAAAAATTCAGGTTCGATTCCCAGCAACAACATTATATTGTTCATTCATTATGGAATTTTAGTTCATAGATTATGGAATTATAGTTCATTGATTATGGAATTATAGTTCATCGATTATGGAATTGTAGTTCATCGATTCTGAAATTTTAGTTTATAGATTATAGAATTTTAGTTCATTCATTCTGGAATTTTTAATTCATAGATTAGATTATGGAATTATAGTTCATCGATTATGGAATTATAGTTCATCGATTATGGAATTATAGTTAATCGATTATGGAATTTTAGTTCATATGTTGTTGCTGAGAATCGAACCTGATTTTTTTTTAAGGGGAGACGCCCGTTTTATTAAAACGACGTCGTTTTTGCATCTGTATGCACCATGCATGTGCATACGGATGCACAGCATAATTTGCCAGCATATGCTTCTCACTTCTCAGACATGTGTTGTACCTCCAAAGTAATGAGAATTGTTTAGTTAATTATGAGCTATTACGAAATTAATAATAATTCATTCTAATTTTTAACATATGAATTAAGTTTGTAACATAATATTTAATGTGATTAAATTGTCAATTTTGGAAGTTAGAATTGAATTTTCAATTCAATTTTTTGAATGATCGATCCTAATGAAGTCCTCTTCTCTTATAAATATTTCTGGTTTGACAAAATGATTAACAATTACTGAAATTTTATTTTTTACTTTCGTAATCTTTAAAATCTTAAGAAAACTTTCTCTCAACCTCTCTTAAGATTCTTAGTGTTCCTTTTGTTTACGTTTGCTAAAAACAATAGCTATAGTGTTTAACTATATTACAGTGTTTAACTATATTGTTGATAGTCCATTTTTATCATGAAATTGATGTGATACTGTGTTTAACACGATTGGAAAGTAACAAGTTCACGTAACAAACAAATTAGATTTGATTATTTGGATTGACCATTCGGTTCGCTTGTAATTGACAAATTATTATGTAGATTCGGGTTCAAAGATACACAATTTACATACTAAATGTTCACAATTTATATTTTAAAATTTACAATTTGTGATGACCCCTGTATTGTATTCAGAAATTTTCAAACCTATCACCTTCCACATAGGGGAGCAACTTGGTACCATTGTCCATTGGATCACAAGATCCTTGGTTTAGAAACACAATTTTTATTATAGAAGTTCACAATTTCAATACTAAAAATACACAATTTAGGACCAAGGTGACCCTAATCCATTCTTCCCAAAAGGTTGAACCCCAAGCCTTATATTATAGAAGTTCACAATTTCAATACTAAAAATACACAATTTAGGACCAATGTGACCTTAATCCATTCTTTCTAAAAGGTTGAACCCCAACCCTAAGGGTCCCCCACACCCCGGCTCGCCCCTCACTACCTTCACTTTGAGAGGTTGCTCTCACACAACCGTTAGTGAGACTCGATCTCTGGTCATTCATTCTAACATTCATCTCTATGACCAGCTGAGCTGCCTATGCGGGCAAGGTGATCTTAATCCATGGTATAACAATTGCTTGTAATTATACATGGTTTTTAATGGACAATATTGTCCTCACAATAATACATTCTGACTTGTACTTTTCATTTTCCATCAACGTATGTGTCTTTTTTATTGTTACGTATGTGCCATTTTCTTTTGTTCTTTTCCCTCATTTTATGTGAAAGTAGGCTAGATTACTACTTTTTCTTCCTTTTTTTCCTTTATTTATGTGATGGGACTTTCAATACTTTGACCTTTTCTATATACTTTGCCTTATTATATACTATATATTACATCATTTTAATGATCAATATTGCCCTCAAATACTAAATTTCAGCTTGTACAATTCATTTTCCTTACGTATGTGTCCGTTTCTTTTATTTCCCTTTTCCTCATTTTAGGCTAAATGTTTGAGAGAACTTAGTCAAATTACACATTTAGCAATAAAAAACAAATTCGTAGCTAATTATTACTTTACATACTAGTATTTGCACCCGTGCGATGCACGGAATGAATTTGTTGTAATATAGTAAGAATACATGAATCGATATATAATTATTTAAATTAGAACATCCAATATTATATAGTACAATTAAAGATATGGTTTGCATCGTTTATATATTTTGATGTTATTATTGTTTGAATTTGTGTAAATAATTGCTCAAATTAATAGCTAATGTCTAGATGTACACATATGGTGCTATAACTTTGAAGATTTTATTTATCATTATTTAGTATTTTCATAAATTAGGCAAATGTGCTCGTTCTCTAACAACTCAGTTATAGAAATGAATTGGTATCCTTATTCATTTGTATGGAAGATATATTTTTTTGTCAAGATATATAGCAATTTTTTCATTTAAAAAAAAAAACTTAATATCCCCGATTATATTTACACATTATTGAAACCTCTTTGTAGACGACATTGGTAGTGACAACGCAATCTTGTTCATCTTCGTCTAGAGCTAACACCTTCAATTCATCGGGACGGGTTATTTGGGTTAAAATATAT